ACTGGATTAATATTTCTGATTAAGATATAGGAAAGAGTACGAGAAACACATATAACTAATAACATTGCTATCTAGGGATGAATATGCATATTTAGTATACGTATATCTGTATTTCGATGAAATGTTACGATAAGGATACCAACCTATTTGGCATCCATTTCCGAGATGGATGATGTCCTCGAGGACAGGTTTGTAAAAACTAACGTGTGTTTGCGGTAGAGGAAATCATATTTCAATGTTTTCCTTAAGCTACAGAATCGGAATTCCTTAAACTTTTACTTTTTATATAGTTTTATTCCTAATAATGTATTTGTTAATCCAAAAATGGTGACAGGTCCAGTAAGAATGCCGAAACGATATCATAAGATGAAGGTAAATTTCCCGTGAAGCAACACCCTACAAGCTAGATGCATAAATTAATATACAAAATATTTAGCACAGGGTGTAAGTTTTAATTTCAAATGAAATGTTTGATCACTTCTACGATTTTTTTTTATCTTAGAATGTATTGCTTCGATACAACAGCATCTGCAAAGCACGTCAATCATTTGATTAAAGTATATAAACAACTATTATTATAAACACGAATTACCTGTATTTATATAAACACTATTTACATTCATATGTGTTTGTTTTCAGCCGTTTTGTCACCTCCAAATCTTGGCAGGTCACCATCTTCCCCACTGTAGGGTGAAAAGTACAGAACACAACTATGTCCAGCATAAACGGACTGACGGTTCTCGAAAGCAATCTGCTATAAAAATGTTATACAATAAGTCACCACCAGCTCCTCACGGTCTAGTTACATCGTTTACTTATTCTTAAATGATTCAATTAAGTGATAGTGGCATGTTTCTGTTTTTTATTTTTTAAATAAGGCCGTAACGATTTCAAGTTAAAATAATTTCAATGCATTTAGAATAATCATTCCATGTTTTTTTTAAACAAAACAAAAAAAAACAAAAACATGATTATTAATCAATTCAAATAAATGACACATTGCATGGTAATGATTGTTCCGAGTCTTTGTTCAAAATCACTTAAAGGACAAACGGAAAGTGTAATCTTCTGTTCGGGATCAGTTTCGACGTCTGAACTGTTTTTGTCCTGGTACAATAAACTGACTGAAGGAAAAAATCAATGATTCTAGCAGTAATGATCCCGACTAGGATTAATCTATACATAATAAAAAGAATTAATATTCACTAAAATCGAAAATCTGTGAAGAAATTGGTATTTTATGAGGGTGTAAGAATTTTATTGTGTCACTAACACCAGACAATAGAATCAGTAGAATCAATATTGGTGATAAAATAGTAATACATTTGGCGAGGGAGCTTAATCTGAAGTGCTGTGCAAACAGATCGGAATGAAATCACCACCAAAATGAGGAAATTTTCATCCATTTTGCTTCTTCTTTGCACATTATGGAACACAGGTAAAGGATATACAAGTAATTTAGTTATATATTAAACACACTATGTTTGTAAAATCGATGCAATTTTTCCCATGATACTTACTATTCACTTGTTACTGAGATTTCGAATTCATTTTAGGTACTGTGTTCTGCGAAGTGACAGTCACTGGAGAGCTGTCTATCTTAGGTGATACAAACATTTCTGATGTAAGCTCTCTCAGGCCAGCTAAAGTGGATGTAGGCGATGAAGTGACGTGTCACTTCCAGCTGATGCTGAATAATGGCGCTGATCTGAGATCTGTGAAACTGGTTTTCAATACAACTGGGTTGGAGGTAAGCTAATATTCATGTCCTTTTTATTGAATTTTTTTGTATAAAACGGCACACTTTCGTAAAAGAAAGTTCGCTTGCTTTTTTCCTTTGAATCGTGTAAAAAGTCGATAAATTCGGTATTATTTAGATAATGTTATAACATGAGCCAAACTGAAATTATCTCCTTTTACGGAACATTGATATGCTACTTTTTCATAGTTATGTTAATATGCATATTGCATTGTATACACAGATTCATTGTAATAACGTAGAACTGAAATGCGGTGCTGAAATATTTTTCTTTGCGAAAAAAACACTATTTATCTTATGCGTATCATATTATATCATGAGTTGAATGCGCAAAAAAAGAGAAAATTGTATACCTATACATTTGGAATGTTGTTATTTTTTTCTCTTCGACTAATAGTAATAGCGATGCCATATAATTGAATTATTTCCAACTGGATTAATTATGGGATTATGTCTTTTTGAGATCTTTATTTTGTACAAGTAAATCAATACTCAAAATCACAACGAGTAACACAGACCAACTAAAGGTAGATAAAATATTATGATAAAACAAATCCTTTAGAACTTACCGGCGTGAAGAACGTTTACATTCTGTAATTACTGTGATCATTAAGCTAATCCCATATAAACGAAAAAAAATATCATAAATAACATTGTAACAAGACACGATACTGAAAAGCATCAAGCGATAGCAATTAAATATCTAAGATAATGTTAGTAACTACATGTATACCATGAACAAACAAAACAACGATAAAATAATAACTGGATGAAGTGTCCAAAGTTTGAAAAATGTCTTCAAAGTGATCCTTTTATTGTATCCTTTAATTGTTCACAGTTTCCAAAGAAATCCCCAGAACGGTTTGTGGAAATAAGTTGGGCCAGTGCTACATTCCAGGATCCGGCTTTACTAGAAAAACGAGTGGTGAGTTCTTAAAATTAAGCTCACTTTAAATTTATGTAATCATTGTGAACATTTATGGTTCATGGCGGACATGTATTTTGATAAATCATAGTAACTTCTACCAAAATTGGGATTGTACATTCCGCATTCTTCAAATATTATTTCATTGTGCTGATTACTTACCAGCGTCAAGCCAGGTCGCAGAGCCCTTAGTGAAACTCGCCTCTTTATTATCATACGACGTACGCGTGACTCTCTTGAGGACCTAGAAACGGTGTTCAGATGATCAATATTTTTTAGCTATACCAACTTACGTCCAAAAACTGAAGATAATAAAATTGAAAACACAGCAAACTCCTAAAATGCTGTATAACATGAGACTAGTAAAACACGTGACCTATCGTTGATTGCGTAAATTTAACAAGAGACTTTTTTTCTGAAGGAGATATCTGGATATGGTAAAGCCTTACGTTGAAGTTTATTTATGTACTATGGAAGAACAAGTAAGGTTTTGCGTTGTTATTCATTTGTTGATATCTGTTTCCCTACAAACGCACGACTCATTAAAATAGTGATAGCCGGTTTGACAGGCCCTTTATACGCTGAGATGCTCGCACGCGTTTCCAAACAAGACTTGCATTGAAACGTCTACCTGTTACTCCGATACGATAACCGGCGTAGTTAGCCTAAAGAATATGGTTTTCTGTCTCAGCTTATACGGAATTACGAATATTTTTCTAATTATAGAGCTGCTGTACCTCTCTTCTAGACTTGACTTTTTTCTTTTGATCACTTTGGATTTTCCTTAGTCGCCTCCCAGGCTTTAAATTTTAGGCCCTTAGCATCACTGACGGGTCTTAGAAGAATGAAACAACTGTATGATGCAGTTTAGTTCAAGCTACAAAGGATAGTTGTTGTATGATGTAGTATTACTGACGAATCCTAAAAGGACGAAACAGCTGTTTGATGTAGTTTAATTAATTGTTTGGCTCTACTGTACCTTACACTAAATTATAAAGTGTTGCTATTCACTTGTCTCCTTTGTACAATCTTAATACGTTTGTTTAACTTAATTTGTCACCTTTAACCAAGAATAGCAATTAACATTCATGGTTCTCATTTTACATTTATCTAATCATGTATAAATCGCAGACATCAAACTCCAGAAGACGTATAGCTTACACCCGAACTTACAATTGGAAGAAAGCAGTTCTGCGAACATAACAAAAGATGGTGTGTATCACACTGAATATACTGACAATTACAAATGCACTTCACAAATTTATGACATGTTGAAGTTAATCATTGTATATTTGTCAGTTGATTTATAATAATTATTTAGATTCAATATTTCGAAAAAGCAGAATATCTGCCCTCAGTTTGGGACTAAGCTACACTACATCGAATGGTCGTACTTTATTCAAGGTAGCAAGCTTCTTTTTTCTGTTTCTAATTATCACGTGTCATATTTAGACAACCTCTGTCGATTTTGAGACTGAAAACACGCAGTTGATAATACAAGCTGACGTCAATGGAGTACCAGTGACGTCAATTTCCGGTACCTACAGTTTGGTTGTCAGTGGTAAGTGCGACGTTGTTAATTTAATAAAAAGTAATTACTTGGATTGCTTAAGCGTACCACGGTTTATGTCAATTATCAGTAAAAAAAGCTTTGCTTTAAGTGATCGCAATAACACGCACATCGTTCTGTGTATATGACAAGCACGAGTCTCACAGTGTTTCCAACAAGAACATTAACATCTACATTTTCGATTTACAAATGTATCCTTGCGTAAGCTCTATCGTTTTGAATTTGTATGTTATTACTTTATATAAAGTTAAAATGTTCAAGTTATAGCTTTCATGCTCATTTCATATTTGCTATCCACGAATGTGACGTTAATGAGAATTCCACTGACACACACACATGACACGATTGAATAGAAATAAAGCAGGCAATATTTACATCGCAAAGACATCTTTTCTGAAAAAGATGTATCGTCTTTTCAATAATATTGAGGTCATTAAATCCACTGTTATATTTGTCTCTGAAATTAAAACAAAAAACGTCGAAATAGTTTCAGTTTTTTTCTTTCGAAAACATGATGTAGGTAGCTAAGACATGTACCACAAAAGTATGCTTACGTAAATATATGTATGCTTTGTATGATTACAGAAAAGACAAGGCGTATTGGATCGGGCCAAAGTTTCATGACTGTCATGCCCCGTTTGCTGTCCGGAGATATGATATCTGCTATATATGTTTACTCCACCCTTATCGTCACCCCTTTACCACTATTTGATATCAAGCGTGCGGATCCCTTTTACCACTGGTTTTCACATGCCTCCCGGCACGTTGACTTCGCTTTTCGGCTTCCTCTCCTCCTTTACCAGGTTTTCATGCTTGGTGACTTCGCCTTTCTCGGCTTCCTCCTTTACCAGGTTTTCATGCTTGGTGACTTCGCCTTTCTCGGCTTCCTCCTTTACCAGGTTTTCATGCCTGGTGACTTCGCCTTTCTCGGCTTCCTCCTTTACCAGGTTTTCATGCTTGGTGACTTCGCCTTTCTCGGCTTCCTCCTTTACCAGGTTTTCATGCTTGGTGACTTCGCCTTTCTCGGCTTCCTCCTTTACCAGGTTTTCATGCTTGGTGACTTCGCCTTTCTCCGCGATCCCACTTTCTTTGTTTTCTTGATAGGTGTGCTCTACTTTTCTGGCTTCCTCCTTTACCAGGTTTTCATGCTTGGTGACTTCGCTTCCTCCTTTACCAGGTTTTCTCTTGGTGGCTTCCTCCTTTACCAGGTTTTCATGCTTGGTGACTTCGCCTTTCTCGGCTTCCTCCTTTACCAGGTTTTCATGCTTGGTGACTTCGCCTTTCTCGGCTTCCTCCTTTACCAGGTTTTCATGCTTGGTGACTTCGCCTTTCTCGGCTTCCTCCTTTACCAGGTTTTCATGCTTGGTGACTTCGCCTTTCTCGGCTTCCTCCTTTACCAGGTTTTCATGCTTGGTGACTTCGCCTTTCTCGGCTTCCTCCTTTACCAGGTTTTCATGCTTGGTGACTTCGCCTTTCTCGGCTTCCTCCTTTACCAGGTTTTCATTCCTGGTGACTTCGCCTTTCTCGGCTTCCTCCTTTACCAGGTTTTCATGCTTGGTGACTTCGCCTTTCTCGGCTTCCTTCCTCCTTTACCAGGTTTTCATGCTTGGTGACTTCGCCTTTCTCGGCTTCCTCCTTTACCAGGTTTTCATGCTTGGTGACTTCGCCTTTCTCGGCTTCCTCCTTTACCAGGTTTTCATGCTTGGTGACTTCGCCTTTCTCGGCTTCCTCCTTTACCAGGTTTTCATGCTTGGTGACTTCGCCTTTCTCGGCTTCCTCCTTTACCAGGTTTTCATGCCTGGTGACTTCGCCTTTCGGCTTCCTCCTTTACCAGGTTTTCATGCTTGACTTCTCCTTTTTTTTACTTCTCCTTTACCAGTTTTCATGCTTGGTGACTTCGCCTTTCTCGGCTTCCTCCTTTACCAGGTTTTCATGCTTGGTGACTTCGCCTTTCTCGGCTTCCTCCTTTACCAGGTTTTCATGCTTGGTGACTTCGCCTTTCTCGGCTTCCTCCTTTACCAGGTTTTCATCCTGGCTTCCTCCTTTTTCGCCTTTCTCGGCTTCCTCCTTTACCAGGTTTTTATGCTTGGTGACTTCGCCTTTCTCGGCTTTCTCCTTTACCAGGTTTTCATGCTTGGTGACTTCGCCTTTCTCGGCTTCCTCCTTTACCAGGTTTTCATGCTTGGTGACTTCGCCTTTCTCGGCTTCCTCCTTTACCAGGTTTTCATGCCTGGTGACTTCGCCTTTCTCGGCTTCCTCCTTTACCAGGTTTTCATGCCTGGTGACTTCGCCTTTCTCGGCTTCCTCCTTTACCAGGTTTTCATGCTTGGTGACTTCGCCTTTCTCGGCTTCCTCCTTTACCAGGTTTTCATGCTTGGTGACTTCGCCTTTGTCGGCTTCCTCCTTTACCAGGTTTTCATGCTTGGTGACTTCGCCTTTTTCGGCTTCCTCCTTTACCAGGTTTTCATGCCTGGT